TGTCCAAGCCACCTCCTACCGCTGTGGAGAGGGCAAAGGGCAGTGAGCAGCAAGGGTGAGTGGCTGGTATAATGACAGCTCACTTCCTGGGTACTGAGGCCATAGCTCCATGCCCCCCCGGCATTCTGCAGCCATTGCTCTGATTCCTCTTCCAGCTCTGAGGAGTGGGTGAGTCTGGACGGTATAGGATCCAGACCCATGGGTCTGGTCCATTATTCAGCTAGTGCTAAGGTGGGATAAAGAGCAGGGCGTGGAAGAAAAGGGAAAAATCCCAGCACATGGGAGAAAATAATTGGTCACAGCATTTGGAGATGAAAAAGTAAGTAGAGAAGGGAAGTGACTGGCCCAGAGTTCCATAGACAGCAAAAAGCGGTCAAAATTTGAGCATGAAGTTTCTGACTCCAGATCGAGCAGTGTCTTTTCCGAGATTCCCCAGGAAGCTCACTCTTGATGCCCCCAGGTAGCATGCCTCCACTCTACTGGCCAAGCTCTAGCCCAGGGTATCAGGACTGGCCTGGGAAGCAGATACCCTCTGAGTAGGAGATGAGTCAGAGGCTGTGGCCCTGCAGCTTCCTCCCAGACAGGGGAGGAAGTCAGTGAGGACTCAGCAGGCCCATGAGGAAGCTCAGTACCCCCAAGGAAGGGGAGTGTCCAGCCCCCCACAAGTACCTTCCCCCAGAGGAGGCTCTAGGAAGTAAGTTGCTGGCCCACAGCCAGGGATTGGGTGGGGGCCTGCAGGAGCCCGGTCTTTGCCATAGGTTTCTTTTAGGGTAGTCAAGTTTAAGGTCACATGGCCAAGTAGGTCCCAAGGCACCAACTCTGTCCCATGCTAAGCTGGGTCCCTTGACACCAGACAGGAATAATTCCATCTTCTCAGCCTTGCCAATGATAAACAGCCCTGAGTTAGGGCTCCAGGATTTGGGTCACTACACAGTTGGATTATCCTAAACCATGCCCTGTGCCTCCACTTCTCCTCTGGTCACTCCTAGAAGAGTCCCTCTTGGAAGGAGAGACAACCCAGCTGTAGAAAGAACACCAAGTCTAGGGGTCTTATAGCAACTCCCCCCTCAATTGTCCCTTCTGCAAACCAAGCCCTACCATGGGGGCCTGTTTTCAGTCCTACTTTTCCTCTGGACTTCTATTCCGGGGCTGTGGTCATGGTTTATATTTGGGATGGGAATGTCTTAGTGCATCTGACCATTCCTGGCAGAGATGCCAGCCACAGGGAGCCAGCCTCCTGTGCTTGTCACTATGGTAACCCAGCCACACTTAGTACTGGGCTTCCCAGGGGCATCGATGAAGGGAGGCTGGGGAACTGGGGTGGGGTTTGAGTTTGAAATAAATCCTCAGGGTCTATTGTCCCTAGCATTTTAAAGAGCTTAGGGCTAGGCAGACTCTGGCTTAAAGTATGGGAGGAGGGGAGGAATTTGGGGATGCTCCCTGACTTTAACAAAATTGATCTCTGTAAGCCTCAGTTTTCCCATCTGTAAAATGAATGTATGGGGACTGCATTGAGCTAGAAGATCTCTAAAGGCCTTTTTACCTCTAAGGCCTCTGAAACCTCATCGAGTTCTTTAGGTGGCCCTGAGGTGCCCCAGCTGCCTAGACAGGCATATGTCAGAGCTGCCCACACCCACTTTGTCTAGATTGCAAAATCAAGCCATTGCCTCATGGTGGCCCTATCCTTCTGGAGAGCTCCATTCAAGTTCCATTCACCAGGGGCCCATTCTATTGCAGCCGGTAGAGGGATAAAGTGAATGCCCAGAACTGGAACTTCGACCAGGAAGGGTCCTTAGCTATCATCTGATCTAAGCTCTTCCTTTGACCTAGGCAGCAACTGAGGGCCAGAGAGAAGAAATGTCTTGTTCCAGGTCAGAAAGACAGAGAGCATCAAGCTGAGATTTCAACTCAGGTCCTCTGACTCCAATTCAGTGCTTTGTCTCTATGAGCTGCGGTGTGGGGGGGGAGTTGGGGGGGGGGATGCTCAGATCCTTTTCTTCCACGCCCTGCTACAGGGCAAGAGCTGCACAGTGGGGACACTGGGGGAACTGTGCTATCACACACTGGGTATCAGAGGAGAGGGATGGGCAGGTCAGCTAACCAGCAAAGCTCCCTGGGAAGAAAGCTTCATCAGGAAGAGAAGGTGGCTACCTGGGACTGGCTATTTGCCCCCTGGACAGGGATGGTTTATTCTTCCATCCCAACTCCTAGGAGCTAGTTCTGATCCCAGAGCCTCCTCATTATACTTCAGGACTCTCCTTGCACAGAAAGATGAAGCCTCTTCCTCAAGTCTAACCCTATCACTCTTGGTAGAATATAAATTCCTTGAAGGTAATACCGGCTATGTCTTTGTATCTCTAGTGCCCAATACACAGTAACTTAATAATTGCTTGTTGGATTGAATGAGACTGGCCCATTTGGGATGGACAGACAGAAGGCTGGTTTTGCCTGCAGTTCATATTCTAGTTAAGTGAAGAATGTCCCTCCACCACCACCCCCCAGCCCCCACCCCCAGCTGCTCCAGTCTCACCTCTAGCATTAGGGATTCTGGAAGTCCAGAGAGTGAGAAACTGCCGCCTATCTTCCTAGTATACCAAAAGACCTCACAAAATACCTGGGTTTGCCCCTAATGTACTTATTATGTGATACTATGTATTTTACCGCCTTTACTAAACTGTTCTCCATAAGGGCAGGGCCCAGTTCTTATCTACACTTTGCATCTCTTCCAGCTAGGACAATGTGGCTTGGCAACACCAATCCTGGGGGGGGGGGGGGAATCTTGGGACTCTATTCCCAGGAAAATCGGAATAAATATTGAATTTGAGAGAAAACTGCATGTTCTCATGCAGAGCAGGGATCATAGCTTGCTCCTTCCATAGGGCTTATAGGTAAAGCTGGAAGAATCCAAGATCATTTAGTCAATTCCCTCATTTTACAGATGGGAAAACTGAGGCCCTTAGAAGTTAAGTAAATTGTCCAAGGCCACACAGCTAGCAAGTGAAACAGATTTTGATGCCAATAGACTGGTCTTTCTAGGAAAGGCCAGGACCTCATACCACTATGTACAGGTTGGGGAGTTGTCATGTTAACCAATTCCCTTCACTAGGAGTTGGGGGCTCTCCTGGGAAGAGAAGTCTAGCTATGAATGAGGTGCAGTCTCTGGGATTCCCTGCAGTGCTCCTGCTCTATCTTCTCTCATTCCCAACCTCAGTTTCCCCTCTTGAACCTGGCAGGCCGGAGGTTCCCTTAGCCCATTATTGGGCCAGCTCCCTTCTCCTTTCCAAAGGACCATCGCCCTCTCTCTCCCCCTCCCCCTCACTGGGGGCCGGCAGGCTCTGAGCCCAGTAGGAATGCAGGCTAGCGCCTGGAGGCACATTCCAGGGGAGACCCCGGGGTCGGGGGCAAGTTTGTGCAATGCTGCTGCGCAGGAGGCCTTGGCCGACCCAGCCTCCCCCCATCCCAGCTAAGGGGCGGAGGGGGAAATGCAGCCGCCTCCTCCTTTACTGCCCGGGGTGAGGGGGATGGGGGGCCCACGCCCAGCGGAGAAGGAGGGGGGTTGGGGGCATAGCCAAGCCACTGTCCAGGTCCTGATAAAAGCTGCTTGGGCTTGGTCTCCTGGCCGGAGCACCAGGCATTCCTGAGCCGTAAACAGAGAACCACAAGGCCGGCTGGGGGCAGCTCACCCGGGGCTCGAGGGGCAGGGGAAGGGAAGCAGGGACTGGGACATCTGGAAAAGTCCCTTTCCCGTGCCTGCCTCAGCTCCTGCCGCGTTGCTCAGCAAACTCCATCACTCCAGGCATTTAAAATTAGCCCGAGCGCGCCCCGCCCCTCCCCCCAACCCACCCAGGGCAGGCAGGGAGGGAACTCGGAGCTCCCCGCCAAAGGTGCGGGGGGGGGGGGGGGGGCGGGGTAGGGAGAAGGTGACTCATCAGGTCTTTTCCACCCTTCGCTCAGTTCCACGATCCCCAGCATTTCGATCCTGTCATCCTTCCTGGGGGAAATCCCCCACTCTTGGTCCTGCTCGGCCTGGGACTCCCAGGCAGGTCCGCCCCCTCAGGAAAGCCCAGGGCCTGTTTTTCCCTTCCCGGCACAGTTCTGCCCGGGTCTCCATCCTGGCCCTCCCAGCTAACTGCAGGGCTGGGAGGACTAGCTAAGACCTTCCACAGAGTGGAGCAAGCTACCGCCAAATTCCTGGGGGCTGCGCGTAGTACCAGCCAAAGCACAGGATTTGGAGTCAAAATAATAATAATGATAATAATCGCTTCCATTTACATAATGCTTTGAGGTTTGCAAACTGCTTTACATATAATCTCATTTTAGCCTTACAAGCACAGAGTGAGGAAAGCGCTACAAGGCTAGAGCATTTATGAAGCTCTTACTACATGCCAGGCACAATGTTAGGCACATAAATCCAAACAAGACAGTCCATGGAGGCTCACAGTTGAAGTGATTTGTCTCTGGTCATCCAGCCAAATGTCAGAGACGAGATTTGAACCTAGGTCTTCCTGACTCCAAGGCCAGCACTGTAGCCATTTCATCATGTATCCAGTTTTTTGCTACTTAGTACCTGGGTGACCTTGGGCACTAAGTCACCCCCTTGCGACGGTTTTTTCAACTTTAAAACGATTGGGTTGGACTCAATGCTGAGGTCTCATCTAGCTCTAAAATCCTGGGATCGTGGGGTTCTCCCTCTGTTCAGTTTCCCGGGGTCTACTTGGCACACTCAAGCCCCCCAGTACCCATCTAGTCGCACCTTTTTGGTAGGAGAAGCAACCCCGCCGGAAAAGTGTGTTCTAACTCAGTCCCTCCCCTCCCCTTGGCCCCGCCCCCAGACCTCACTCACCTGGAGCACAGGTGCACTAGGTCCATTCCCAAACTTTTGAGGGGACTCTGGGGTCCCCAGCCGGAGGGGCAATTTTTGTCCCCCTAGCCCCACCCCCGACGGTGCTCCTGGGAGGGGGGGCAGCCCCAGCCCCGAACCCTCCCTGGCCCGGACTCACCTTGAGCGGTGCCGACAGTAGCCGGTGCAGAGCGGGGATCTGGGCACCCAGCGGCAGTGTCCCGTCCAGGGTGCAGGTGGGGGCCCGGCGGGGCTCCGGGAAGTTGGCGCAGGCGAAGGGGTCCGCGTCCTCTAAATACTGCACCCTCACCGTTACCGCCGCCGCCTCGCTGTCCTCCCGGCCATCCCCACCCGCCATGGCCCCCGCCGCCAGCTCGATCGGCTCGGCTCGGCTCGGCCGCCTCCCTTCGGGCCCGAGGCGGCGTATCGACTCAGCAGCCGGGGCTGGAAGGACAGCACAGAGCTGAGGGGGAAAGAGGCGGGGCGAGAAAGGGGGCGGGGCCGATAGGGGCGGGGCGAGGAGGCCAAGTCCCGGAACGCCGCGGCCACGATCAGAGGCGAGGGGCGGAGCTAAAAGTTAGCCAATCAGAGACCCGAGGTCTCACTACTCGAAAGATCCGTTAGCTAGCTAAGCGGGGGTGGGGTGGGGGGCGGGATATGGGAACAATGATCTCTCCAGCGAGCTCTGGGATTGGCTGTTTCTCCGCAGTCTGCGTGGATGGGACGGGGCATTTTCTTCCTCTGTCTAAGGATAGGGTTGAGGATCGTTCTCCTCAGTTTCGGGGGGAGGGGGAAGGGGACTAATTCTGCCTCTGCAATGGGTGGAGTGGGGTAGGTTCCTCTCAATCGTGTGGAGTGTGTGTGTGTGTGTGTGTATGTGTGTGTATGAGTGCGCGCCCTCAAGGAGTTTATATTCTATTGGGGAAGACCGCGTGCTCACAGATAAATATGATGTGTATATATATATATAATATACATACACACATACACAGATGCATATGTATATGCATATATTGTTGTTCAGTCGTGTATGACTTCGTGATCACCTTCTGGGATTTTCTTGGCAAAGATACTGGACTGGTTTGCTATTTCCTTCTCCAGCTTATTTTACAGATGAGGAAACTGAGGCAAACAGGGTGAAGTGACTTGCCCAGGTTCACACAACTAGTAAGTGTCTGAGGCTGAATTTGTACCGACTCCAGTCCCGGTGCCTATGCACAGTGCTACTTAGCTGCTTGCACTGTGTGTGTGTGTGTGTGTGTGTGTGTGTGTGTGTGTGTCTGTCTGTCTGTCTGTCTGTCTGTCTGTCTATATTTAAATGAACAGTACTGGGGAGGTACTAATACCTGAGAATCTTGAAAGAGGTAAGTTGAGAAAGAAACTAGAGATTCCAAGACACAGAGGTGGAAAAGGAAGGCATGCATTGTTGTGTTGGGGGTGCAGCAAGAAAGCCCGTTTGGCTGAATTATAGAGTGCTTAAGGGGAAACAAGGTATAATCAACCCAAAAAGATAGTCTGGAGCCAGACTGTAAGGGGGCTTTAAATGCCAAACATACAAATTTGTATTTTAACTTAAAGGCAATGAATGGGTGGGCTTCTTCAGCAAGGTAGTAACCTGGTCAGAACTGCTCTTAAAACACTCATTTGGCAGCTGATGGGGGAATGTATTGGAGAGGGAAGAAACTAAATGTAGGGAAGTCAGAAGAGTTGATAAGAACCTGGGCTAGGGTAATAATATAAATAGAAAGGAGATGGATGGAGAGATGTTTAGGACCTAGAATCTACAAATTGTGGAAACTGATTCAATACTGGTTGGTGGTCAGTAAGAGTGAAGAAGGGTTGATGATGACTCTTAAGGTGTGGACCTGAGTGATTGGAAAAAGTGTGGCTGTGACTATAATGAGGAAATTCAAAGAGGGGTGGGTTTGGGGAAAAGATCATGAATTTTGCTGTAGACCTGTTGAGTTTGAGAGTCCTATGGGACATCCTTAGGATGGTAACTGGTGACAGAGAATTGGGACTTAAAAGAATAACTAGGCTTGGATATTTATATCTGAGGATGAGATGGTAATTGAACCAAAAGGAGCTGGGAGTGGTCACCAAATGAGAGAGTATAGAGAAAAATAAAGGAGGGCTGAGGATAGAGACTTAAGGTATAGCCACAGTAAATAGTCCTGACATGGATGATGAATGTGTAAAGAAGAATGTGAAGGAGATAGGAAGAGAACCAGGACAAAGTAGTGTCACAAAGACCTTCAGAGAAACAGAGTATGTAGGAAGAGAGGGTAGTCAAGGATGTCAAATCTAGAAGAGAGGCTAAGAAGGATGAGGACTGAGAAGTCATTGAATTTGGCAACTAAGAGATGATTGGTAACTTTGGAATAAGCATTTTCAACTGGGTGATGAAATCAAGACATATAGCAGAGAATTTAGAAGAGAGTGATAGGGCAGCAGTTGGGGGCACATAGTTTAGACAGTTTTTTCAAGAAATTTGGTTGAAAGAGAAGAGAGACATAGCTAGCTAGACAATAGCGAGAATGGGGGGATCTAGGGAGGATTTGATGAGTATAATAGAGATACTGATCAATGAAGTAGGAATCCTTAGAACATGCTCAGACCCTGGAAACTAGCCCCCTGAACTAGGGAATGATTTGTCCATCCTGGAGGCAATACAGAAAGTGAATTTGGTGAGAACTCCCAGGAGGGAATTAAGGTTTTAAGGGGATTAAGGATTCCAGGTGTTCTGTGCATGCTAGTATTTATATAGTGCCTACTATGTGCCAGGCACTGTGCTAAGTGCTTTAGAAATATTATCTTATTTGATGTTCACAACAATACTGGGAGGTGCAATTATTATTAACATTTTACAGTTGAGGAAACTTGAGACAAACAGAGGTTAAGTGACTAGTCCAGGATCACACTCATTAAGTGCCTGCAGCTGAATTTGAACTCAAGTCTTCCTGACTCCAAGTCCAGTGCTCTGTTCACTGTGCCACTTAGCTGTCCCAACTACTTTTGTTACTTTAAGTTTGAGCTCACTCTCCCCAGGGACCTTATGTGTGTGCAAGAGTAGAGTGGGCCCCTGGGGTTTGGGGGGGCAATTGTTTTTACTTCTGTCACCTTTATAACTTTTCAGTAAATATTCCTTCATAAAAGCTAATTGATGTCAATTAATTTATCAGTACTGAGGGAGCTGACGAGAATAGTATTAGAAGTCTCAAACCCTTAGGATTACCCCTTAGAACTCTAAGGGGGACAGTAAAATTATCCTCTGAGGAACCTAACCTTCCAGTGCAATTGAGTTAGGTGAGTGGCCCCAGGATGGGATGTTTCATAGAGAATGGGGGAAAGGTGAGACTTGTAGGCAACAGGGGAGGAGCTATTAGATTGAGAGGGATTGAAGAATAGATAGAGGGATGATAGTGGGAGCAATTGGCTGGAGAAGATAGGAGGGAATGGGATCAAAGGTACATATAGTAGGACTGGTTATGGAGAATAGGCTTACCTCTTCATCAGCGGCTGTTATTGTCTAGGGGTTGTTTGGTGAAGGGGAGGAGAGAAGGGGGAACTCTAGGCAAATGACCTTGATTTTCTCTGTAAAATATGAGACCTCTGCTGAGAAGGTGGGGGCAGGGTTTGCTGCTGCTTTGAGGAGAATCTGAGGGGCGAGGGGGAGGGCTGGGACAGATTCCTCAAATATTTAGTCAAATCCCCTTCACTGTTTTTTGAATGAGATTAGGACAACTATCTCCAGACTGTTTTGACTGGAATGTGTAGATGAGGCAATTTGCTAAGTAGAGCCCTTCGTAAGAACTCATTAAACATTTTGTGAATGAAACCTGGGTTGATATTCTGGCTGTGCCATGCACCCCTAGATCTGTGCTTCAGTGTCCTCATCTCAAAATGAGATTGAAAGTGGGTTAACCTGTGCTTTCTAGCTCTAAAATCTCTAGCTCTAGAATCAGTGATCTAAGGTTTTTAGAAGTTATTCACAAAGTCCTCTAGTCCAACATCCTCATTTTACAGATGAGGAAACTGAGGACCTTAGTGACTGGCACAATGTCACAGAGGAAAGACTGGAGGAAAAGGGAGAAGAAGGAGCATCCAGGTCTCCTTTATGTTGCTGATCCCATCCCAAATCTACCAGCCTTGGATCTTGCCCAAAGTGGGTGAATTGTCCGCACAGCCACCCTACTGTGTAGTAGATTTAGTGTTTACTGCTCCCTGCTGTCCTCCTTGGGAATTGTCTCTCTTTGGGCTGTCTAGTCATCCAAGTACTTAGTCAAGTCCGTATTCTAAGGGTCTAAACCTCCCGGGAGGATTACCCAGAGGGATACTAAGCCAGGAAGGACTTCCTAGGTCATGGTCAAAAGGGCTCTCCACATCTTCAAGCCACAAACTGGCAGATCTTAGAGCCGCTGCCCTCTCCGTCCATAGTGACCCAGTGATCTGGAAAAAAGAACTCCATTCTGGGCTGGCCTTGGACCCTCTTACTGTGGCTCTACTGTAGAGTAATGCCCTTTTCCCTCCAGGTTTGGTGCCAGCCCTAGAGAGAGTCAGGATGTCTATCGTGACTCTTGATGCTAATTTCGTGGGATGCCAGCTGTGTGTGGAGAGAGTGTGTGCCTCTGTGTGTGTGTGTGTGTGTGTGTGTGTGTTCTCCATTCTCCATTCGGCTTCTATCCTTACCGACACCTATTCCAGTACTGACTATTCTACAGTCAAAACATCTTTTGAGGCTACCCTGGGGTCCTTAGGGAAGCACTGGAGATGCTATGGCCTTAAAGTCCAGGGGAGAAGACAGGTTTTAAGAGGAGAGGCGATTTGGGGTGGTGTTGGAGGGTGGGAGAGATCTGGCAATTTGATTTGGAGGGTACCATCTAACTGAGGATGAGGCTTCCAGTCTGAGGATCTCGGTTTGGAAAAATTTCACCGTCTGGGTTTGAAGGAGCCAGTACTGGGTTTGGGATATGGGGAGAAAGGGATGGGGTGGGGTGGGGGGGTGCTCTTCAGAATAGGAGGTGGGTAGATTCAGAGTGGGGTAGGAGGGTCGGGATTGAAGTCGGGTAGGGATAGGTTTGGGGGATGCGGGCTCAGGGTTGGGGGGATCGGGAATGGGATTGGGGGGAGCAAGCGCCACGTGCCTGTGACGCGGGGGCGCCCGGGAGGCGGCGGCAGCAGCTGTGGCGGCGGCTGAGGCAGGCGTGGGGACTGGGCTGTCGGCAGCCGAGCCGGGCTGGGCCAGGCCGGAGGAAGATGCTGCCTGCCACACTGCCCCTTCTGGGGATGCCCCTGCCCGGGGCAGGGGCGGGAGTGGCAGACGGGGCCGCCGGAGAGTCCGTCCTGCCCCCTGCGGGCTTGGCGCTGTTGCGCTGGCAGTGGCACGAGGTGGAGGCGCCCTACCTGGTGGCCGTGTGGATTCTGGTGGCCAGCTTGGCCAAGATTGGTGAGTGCGCCAGAGCTTGCCCCGTCCCAGCCCGAGGCCCCCTGTCCGCCCCCTTGTTCCCCCCCCTCCCCCCCCCCCCCGGCCTTGGCAAGCGGAGCGTACACTGTTGTCTATCCTTCTTCCCCACCCGCACCCCCCATCTCCTCTCTCCCCTGCATGCGACACCTGGAGTTTTCGAATCTGCGGATTCGGGTTTCCACCTTTCCTGCTCCCCTTCACTTCCTTACCCGCTCTGCTGCCTTGGTTTCTCGAAGGGATTTCTCCCCAGCCTCCGCCTCTGCGGAGCACCCCACTCTTCTGTCTCCATTCCGCTTCACTGCCACTCCTCGGCGCCCTGTCAGCCTCCCCCTGCTTCTGCTTCTTCGGCGATACCCCCCTCTCCCCACCCCCTCCCCCGCACCCTGCCCCTCTAGTTCTCTGCTCTTCTCCAGGGAAGCTTAGCAATCAGAGACTCAGTTTTCCCTTCTGCCACAATAGGGAAAGTGAGGCACTAGTAGTGGGGTAGTGGAGTTAGCCCTGTACATAGGGAATTCTCAGTGGAGCCGGCCCACTGAATGCAGTTATCCTGGACCTGGGATGGCATTGTGCTATCTGGACCTCAACATTCCTGCCCAGCCAGGTCCCAGGGGCAAGGTTTACCAATTATGTGAACCCTTTATGTACCATCTCCCACCCAGCCCTTTAGCCTTCACTAGAACATAGGACTGGACCACACAAAAGAAATCCCCGTTGGCCAAGAGGAGCAGAATTTTGTTTTTATCTTAATGATATGTATTTCTATAGGAAAGACTATTTAAAAGTGGTCCTCCTTGCAACCCTTCATCATGGCGTCCTAGGTGGCCGCCTACTTTGCCCACCTCCTGCTCTCCCCCTGCTGTCCTTTATTGTCTGGGTGCTACCAAGCTGGCTGGCTTCCCAGTGCTGTGCTGCTCACTGTAACCTGTTCCTCTCCAAGGCAAGCTCCCAGATGTGGGGGTAGCCTAGACATCTGCCTTTCAGAATCCTTAGTCCTTTAAGGTTCAGCTAAGATGCCATCTCCTCCACAAAACCTTCCCTCCTCTCTGTAGCTGCAAGTATTGTCTCTGATCAGCTTTTCCTGGAGCACTTTTTGTGGCTCTCTCCTTTACCCCTATCATACTTAACCTTGTATGAGAGAGGCAGTAGCATGGTGGAGAGCTGGCTTGGGAACCTGGGTTCAAATCCTGGCTTCCAAACCTCTCTACTCTAGGCAACTCTGTAATACTAACTACAGGTTGTCAGGCAGATGCTAGTATGTATTGGCACAGGGAGTTTCTTTATAAGCAGTCTCTTATACTCATGAAATCACAAACTACATATATATATGTATATATATATATGCACACACACATATATACACACATACAAGTCAAATCTCCCCCCCCCAGAATGTAAGCTCCTTGAGGGCAGGTGACTATTCTGTTTGTTTTCTGTCTTTGTATCCCTTGCATCCAGAACTGTACCTTGCATGGAATTTACACTTAATAAATATTTATTGTTGTTGGGATTGAATCCTTGGTCCCTTCTACCCTACTGTTACTACTACTCCCTGACTCTGGGCTTTGATTCATCTGGATTACAGCTGCTTCCCTGAAATACCACTGTCCCATCTTCATATTCAGTAAAGCAGCCAGTCTGATGCATCGCCATCCCCCCACCACACACACACACACACACACACACACACACACACACCCCTGAAATAAGGAGCCCCTCCCTCAGAATCCCATTCCTTTCCCTCTGTTACTGTGTTTGGGGCTTCACAAGATGGGTGTATGTGGTTGATTACAGCTGACGATTGCTGTTCTTTCCCCATGGCTGCTGACTAGCACTGCCTGTACCCTAGCCTTGCCACTGTGCAGCCTTCATGGATAGATTCTGTAACCTAGAATCCAGGGGAAATCCAGGGAGACAGCTCAGGCTGATTGGGACTTTGCCAGAGGTGGAAAATGACTGTCCCCTTCTGCTGCAGGAGACTAATCACAGAAAGTGGAGCTCAGAAATGGCCTTGAGGATCAGAGGAATTGCTCTCCCATTCCTAAGACCAAGCATCTCTCTGATCTTTGGGAAGGGAAGCTCTGAGCATCCAGGGTCACTGGAAGCAGATAGAGGTGCAGGGGAGGGGGGATGCCTTGGTGCCTGGGAGGAAGTGGGAGGAGGTGGGAGGAGGGTAAAGAGGTAAAGGGAAGGATGATCTGTCAGTCTGTAAGATCAACGTGGGAAGAGCTGCTACAGGGCCAGGAAGCAGGCAGAGGAAGGCAGCAGGAGATGCCCTTGGGATTGGATGGCCCAGAATCTGTATAGCTAATGAGTGACCAAGGGGAGTTTCTGCCTGGCATTTGGAGCACGATTAAGCTCTGAAATTACTGCAGTTTCCCCTATAAATCATGATGCTTCTTCTAGTTTGGAAGAAATGATAGGAGATGGGAGAGAGAGGCTTTCCTTCTCAGTTTAGATGAAGGCAGTCCACACACACACACACACACACACACACACACACACACACACACACACCCCCAACTACCTTCTTTCAAACATGGGGTTCTTCATCCAAAAGACCACTGTTTATCCACTGGGGATACGAAGGCTAAACAGAGACATCCTATCTTCTATCCCTCACTTTAGAGGTGGCATTGCCAAAAAGAAAGCCTGATGGGTTTGGAGTCAGAAGACCTGAGTTTGAATCCTGGCACTGCCACTTACTAGCCATATTGTCTTTCAACTTAACATTTTCTGAGCCTCAGTTTCCTCATCTGTAAAATTGGGGGGGGGGGAGTTGAGAGATGATCTCTGACAATCTTCCAGGTTTAGGGCCTATGATCCATTGTTTTCATCTTCCCTGGGGTTTGGGGAGGGATGAGTATTCTGATAGTACCAGAAGAGCAAATAAATTGTCTTTTTAGTGTGGGGAGTGGTAGTAGAAACTAATTCTAACCTTCCTCTTTCTGAAGAATTGGAATTTTTTCATTAACATTATTGATGATCTACTACAATAGAGCTTTGTACAGAAGACTATACTTGGGGTGGGGATTACCAAGAAGAATGAGCTATAGTACCTGTCCTAGAGGATTCTCAGTCTCATTGAAGACATAGGATGTGGGCAGAAAAAAAGTTGAGTACCAGGCAAGTTGCAGATGCAAATTGGGAGACAGGAACAGCACTGGCTGATGTCAGTGCACTTGAGTTCAAATCTTGTTTCTGAAGTCACCCGTCTACCTGTGTCACGTTGGGAAAGTCTTTTAATTTCCTTCAACTTTCTCCTCTTTAAAATAAAAGGGTTGGAGTGGATGATCTTTAAGGTCCTTTCTAGCTCTAATTTTTGTGGTTTAGTATCTGTGTTTATCTCTGTTTAGATGTTCAGGGTGTATGCCTTTGTCTAGCTGTCTGTTTCATGGTGGCCTGGATTCCTGCATTCCTCAGCCCTGCTTCATGATGTGGGGGCCAAAAATCAGAGAGGTTCAGGAGTGGTAGCCCCTGGCCTGAGAGCGAGATGCTGCCTGCCTTCGGAGGAGCCTGGCCAGTTTTCCTAAAACACTCATTCCTCTTCTTCCCCACCCCCTTCTCTCTTTTTCCATGACTTCTTTCACAGCAGGGCCAAGGTCTTTAGCCCACGCAGAAACTGTGAGGGATACAAAAACGCAGTTTGTAATCTGTCTGGGAAGACAGGACATGTACACATACAAACTAACAATATAAGGTTTAACAATCAGGGCACAAGGAATAAGTTCTGCAGGGCATCAGAAGAGGGAGAGATTGGGGTAAACAGAGAAGGTGGAGATGGTGAGGTTTCAGCTGGACCTTGAGGAAGGGCACTTCAGTAGGTGGGGCAGGTCAGAAAGGAAAAAGCAAAACTAGCCAGGATGTTGCAAGGGGAGTGAGCACTGGTTAGAGGACCTGAGTTCAAATGCCAATTCTACTCAATTATACTTTCCCTCTCTGAGACTTAGTTTTCTCATCTATAAAATGAGGAATAATCTCTAAAGTCATGAAGGGATCTAGGTGGTCTTGCAAGATCCCTTTTGACAATAAAATAACCATGATCCTGTAACTAGTTTGCCCATACTAAAGTGGTTACTTAGAGGAGCAGTGGGAGGTATGGATGCAATCCCAGATGTTCACGCTGGATACCATCTTCCCAACTCCAGAGCCTTCAGAATTACCTATAGTTCTGGACCCTGACTTGGGTGCCCTCTTGAGCTGAGCTCTGGGTTAGTAGACATGCAAGACAAGTTCCAGGTGGTTCAGTTACCCTGATGCTCCCTCTCCCAGACCCTTTTCCTTAATACCTATCCAAATCCTGTCTGCCCTTCTATGCCTAGTTCAGCTGTCCATCCCCCTCACCTCCCCCCAAAAAACCCTTCCTGGATAGCCTGAATGAACAAATAAATGAAAAGGTACTTGTTAATGGCTACTCTGCACCAAGCACTGGGCTGGGCACAGATCATACAAAACCAAAACAACTCTTGTCCTGAGGGAGCTTACATTCAAAGAGGATGAGGCAACACATATAGGGAAGGGTGTTTGGCTGGGGAAGTCAGAGGTATGGTGAGTAGGGCGGCAAGGGGAGCTTATTAAAACACTCTGGTAGCAAAGGCAGTTTTGGGACTTGATTATGGTTCCTAAAGGAAGAAGCTGAAGGGTTGGGAAATGGGATATACACAGCAGCGGAAGAGATGGTAAGAATGAATGAAAAAGTATTTATTAAGCCCTTACTATGTGCAAAGCACTGTGCTAGGGACACAAACAGAAAAACAGAGGCAGTCCCTCCTTCCAAGCAGTTCACCTTCTAATGGAGGAGATAACAACTATGGGAGATTGCATCTACAAGTCAGATGGAAAGTTCCATGGTCCTTAGAGTACAGTAGCAAAGCAAACGGTAATACATCTGCTTTAATGCTATTTCCACTGATAAAACCGTAACCGTTTCTGATGGACTCTTCACTAATACCCTACTCCTTAGGATCATGGCCTCTTTGAGGTGATGAGAGCATAAAGGGAGGCATATCCTACCAAGGTGGAAACACATCAGGTATGGGGCTGGTGTTTACTAAACAGGTGCCTGTCCTCTAAGGATCAGATTAACTAAGTACAAAAATGCTCATCGCTAGAGCCGTGGGCACCATGAAACCAGCCACCAAGTCACAGGTTATTGTTGTTGTTTGTCCTTTGTTTCCAAGAGGACTAAGGACATCATGGGGTGATGTCTTGATTTGTGCATGACTTGAGAGTTGGTTGATGGAGTTTCCAAACTGATAAAACCAAGGCTCTTTGGAAACACTGAGGAACAATCCAATACAACAAACATTTAAATAAAGGCCTTCTGCCTACAGAGCATTGTGCCAAGTGTTAGGCTAGATACACAGCCTAGATAAGATAAATTTCTTGCTTTCCTGGAATTTACAGTCTAAAGGCTAACAGACAACTTTTTTTTTTTTTGGCAAGGCAATTGAGGTTAAGTGACTTGCCCAGGGTCACACAGCTAGTAAGTATCAAGTGTCTGGTCTGAGGCCAGATTTGAACTCAGGTCCTCCTGACTTCAGGGCCAGTGCTCTATCCACTGCACCACCTTGCTGCCCCTGCTAAACAGACTTTTGGAGGGTCCAGACCTATTATTTCCCCAGGTTGGGGACTCCCTTTCCTAACACAATTATTGACAACATAAAAGTTGGAGTGTTTTCTGGGTCCCTGAGCAGTTAAATGTGTGCCTGTGGTTATACAACGGGTATATGTCAGAGGTAAGATTTGAACTCAGGTCTTACTGTCTCCAAGGCTACCTTCTATCCATTATTATGCTTCTCACTAACACCAATCATTATAAAATATTGCATATTATAGTTACATAATTGGTTCATTAGAGAGGGGTAGAGCAAAGTGCTATGTGAGATCAGAGAGGTCATTCATTGCCCAGCAAGGATTCAAGGAAGGCCGGTGACATTGTTACACATCCCATTTAGATGCCATGTCTTCCTTGACCATTAGATTGGAAACCCCTAGGGGTAGATATATGTCTTCCATGTCTATGTTTCTCTCCACTGTGCCTAACCCTGGACCTTGCCCAACAAATGTTTGACTTGCTTTTCCTTGTAGTCTTCCACCTCTCCCGGAAGGTGACTTCTGTCGTCCCCGAGAGCTGCCTGCTGATCTTACTGGGTCTGGTGCTGGGGGGCATCGTCCTGGCTGTGGCCAAGAAAGCAGAGTACCAGCTGGAGCCGGGCACCTTCTTCCTCTTCCTACTACCCCCTATTGTGCTTGACTCGGGCTACTTCATGCCCAGTCGGCTCTTCTTTGACAATCTGGGGGCCATTCTGACCTATGCTGTGGTGGGCACACTGTGGAACTCCTTCACTACAGGGGCTGCCCTTTGGGGCATCCAGCAGGCTGGGCTTATGGGTGAGTCTGATTTCATTCCCTGGGAGTCTCCAGGACCTGGGTCGGAGGAGGGGAAGATTGGCTGCATGATCTCAGTTACTTTACTCTCACAGGCCTGGGAAGAACAAGATGCTCGTCTTTGCTGTTTGAGAGAGGCTCTTAGCTTATAGGGTAATGGAAACAGCATTGTATCATGGAGCTGGAGTCAGAGAACATAGGTCAGAATCCCAACTTTGCCCCTTTCTACCTGTGTGACCTTGTCAAATAATTTAATTTATCTGAGCCTCAGTTTCCTTATATATAAAATGAGGATAATGCTAATAATGGTCCTCATTCATACAGGCCTGCCTGTAAGATAGGGATTGCATTAGTATCTCCATTTTACAGATAAGGAAACTGAGAGAAATTGAGTGATTTGGTCAAGATCAAACAACTAATAAGTCTCAGAGTTGAGATTTGAACCCAGGTCTGTCCTGTAAAGGCCAGTGGTCTTTCCATGACAACATTCTGCCCTCACTTCAGATGGAATTGAGGAATAGGGTTGTTGTGTTGGAAGCTCTATAGAAAGCTGGGTTATTATTTTTAGAAGGGACTTTCCAGATCTTCTAGTCTGTGATAAAATGCTTTCATTTTATAGATAAGGAAATGGAACCTTAGAGAGGTCATATATTTTGCCCAAGGTCATCTAGCAAATTAGTGTCCTACTAGGTCTGAGATCTCCAAGGCCCAGTGAGAGTGCTCAGTGCTTGGAGACTGCTCTTCACCAGCTGAGTCTGTCTGTGCCAGCCTTCCAGAGTGGCAGCTGAGCTGGTCTCCCAGAACTGAATAAGAGCTGGGCTCCAGCTGTGTGTGGGCTGTGGGTATGGGGAACCTGTCATGCCGTGTGGCTTGCTTTCCTTCACCCTTCAACATCCATTCAGCCACTTAGCAGCCCTGCCAGAGAGAGCTCTGCTCCCCCATCATCAGGCCTGAGCCACTTCTGCCCCAGCTTTCCTTCCGTGAAGGCTGAACGGGCTAGGGCCAGTGTAGAGAGAGCTGGGGCCAGTGGAAATAACAGAGCACTTTCCATCTGTTAACTCATTTGACCCTCACAACAACCATATGAAGTAGGTTATTGCAGAGGAGAAAACTGAGGCAGACAGAAGTTAAGTGACGTACTCAGGGTCACACAGTCAGTAAATGTCTGAGGCAAGATTCATACTCACATCTTCCCATCTCTAAGTTCTGTGATACAGTGGATAGAGTGGTAGAGCTGGAATCAGAAAGACTTGAGCTCAAGTTTGGTCTGAGATGTATAAACTGTGTGACCCTAGGCAAGTCTCTTAATCTCTGTTTGCCTCAGTTTCTTCATCTGTAAAATGGGGATGGTGATAAGAGCACCTACCTCCCCAGGTTGTGAGGATCAAATGAGATAATATTTGTAGAGCACTTGGCATAGGGCCTGGCACATAGTAGGCACTTAATAGATGTTTATTCCCTTCCCTCTTCCTTCCCCTTTATATCTGTGATCCTATAAACCCCACAAGATAGTTCATATAAACAGTATTATCCCCTTCTTAGAAATGAAGAAATAGGTTCAGAAGGGAAAGTGAGTTAGTTTGTGACTGGCCATATAGCTAAGAAGAATAAACCTGGGTCTCCAGACTTCAGAGCCTGAAGGGACCCCCGAGCTCACCCAGTCCATACTCCTAACTTTATATGTGAGAAAAGAGACCCCCAGAAGCTAGAGACTTTGCTAAGGCCACATAGCTGATAAGTCCAAAGCTCTTTCTACATTGTGCATCAGAGGCATCAAACATGGCGCCTGCCTAAATCAGATATGAAAATGTAATTGGGAACTATTTAACTGACTAAATGAAAATACAATAAACCATAGATGATGTTCATATGTGGTTTTCTAAGCAGCCATCATCTTGTATTAAAGATTTAGTGGCCCCATTGCCACCATTGCTGAATATTAGGGTGGATGGGACTCCGGCTGGGCTCCCACTAGCTGGTTTTTCTTAGACTGTGGTGTTCGTGGGCACCTTCTGCTTTTGCCTCAGGAGTGGAGTGGAGTGGAGAGGTGAGGAGTCCTCTGGTGGGGGGTTAGGTGTGTGTCTCTCTCTCTCTCTATCTGTCTATCTCCCCATAGCTCCCACTGTCCAAGCTGGTTTGCTTGACTTTCTGCTCTTCGGAAGCCTGATCTCTGCTGTGGACCCTGTGGCTGTCTTGGCCGTCTTTGAGGAGGTGCATGTCAACGAGACCCTCTTCATCATAGTATTCGGCGAGTCCCTGCTCAACGACGCAGTCACAGTGGTGAGGGCGCCATGGAGGGCAGGCAAGGCCACATAGGGCTATCTGCCCTGGGTTCCTCACTCTCCTAGCTGACCCAGGGCTTAGAGCTGACCAGTCTGATGGGCTATATTGTGTGTGTGGGGGGGGGGTCCACAGTGCCAGACTAGGGGTCATAAGACCCTAGTGTAAATCCTGACTTTGCCCTTTATTTGTTATGTAAATGATAATAATGACAGCTAACATTTATATAGCTCCATAAAATGCTTTATATACGTTATCTCATTTGATCTGCGTGATAACCCTGTGAAGTAGGTGCTATTATTATCCCCATTTTACAGCTGAGAAAACTGAGGTAGACAGAGAGTAAGTGATTTGCCCAGAATCACACACCTGGCAAGTATCTGAGGCAGTATTTGAACTCACCTGACTCCAGGTCCAGGGCTCTACCTACCATGCACTGCACAATGTGCTGCCTACCTGCTTGTTTTTGGTTGGATCTCTTTCTGCCTTGCTTTCCTTATTTGTAAAATAGGTGTATTAAGACTTGTATCACCTACCTCACAGGACTGTTGTAAGAAAAGAATTTTGTAAACTTGAAAATGTTACAGAAACAGGCAGGAAGCTAGGTGGTATATATGGATGGAGTGCTGGACTTAGAGTTCAAAAGATCTGAGTTCAAATCCTGCCTCAGAGGCTTACTAGTTGTGTGTGACCTTGGACAAGTCACTTAGCCTCTCCTAGTCTCAGTTTCCTCATCTGTAAAATGAGGCTAATTGTAGCACCTCACTATCATGAGGATCAAATGAAACAACATACATAAAGTGCTTTGCAAAACTTAAAGAGCTACATAAATGTTAGCTATTATTATCTCTCTGAAACTCTATTTCTTCATCTATAAAATGAGATTCATAAGCCCCCTATTACTAGCTGTATGGTCATAGGTGTCACTTAACCTCTCAGTGTTCCCAAGCAACTCTAAGAACACAAGCTACAAATGAGCTGCCAATCTGTAGTAGTGGAGAACGTTTCCATTCTGGGAGTTCCCCACACTGCCTTTTTTTTTGAGGGTATGGGGGTCAGCAGGATGGAACCCTTTTATTGCCTGCCTCTCAAGTAAGTAGTGTTGTTATGAAGAAAGTGTTTTGTAAACCTTGAAGCTCTATTGAAATGTGACATTTTATTTATTACTCCTCTAACTTAGGTGCTGTATAAGGTGTATAACTCTTTTGTGGAGATGGGCTCAGTCAATGTTCAGGCTATTGATTATGTGAAAGGAGTCGGTCAGTATCTCCCTGCCCTTTACTGGCCTATCGGGTCCTCTCCTCAATATTCCCCTGGGGTGCTAAGTCCTTTCTCAGAGCCAGGAAGGAGAGAGAAAGCCTCTGCTTGCATCTCTCCCCATTTCCCAATGAGAGCTGATCTCTGGGGTAACAGAAGCCTCAGAATCCAGTTCCTGGCCTTCCTAAGAGTCCAGCTCCTGAGACCCCGATGCCCCTGGTGGAGTGAAGTAGGCATCACCCTTCTCCTCTTTGCCACTGGTTTGGGGTGGGGGGAGGGAGGAGGGGGGCCATGCTGACAGCCCGGCCTCCTTCCCAGCCTCTCTCTTTGTGGTCAGTCTGGGCGGGGCAGCCGTGGGCTTAGTTTTTGCCTTCCTCCTGGCCCTGACCACACGTTTCACCAAGCGGGTCCGTATCATCGAGCCTCTGCTGGTCTTCCTCTTGGCCTATGCTGCTTACCTCACAGCGGAGATGGCCTCACTCTCCGCCATCCTTGCGTGAGTCCCTGGGACCCAAGGCAGAAGCCTGGGGGGGGGGGGTGTAGGGGGAGGATGAAGGGAGGACAGTGGGCATCCCTGTTCTACTGCCTACTACCTGTAGGATTTTGGACAACCATCTTCACCTGTGGGAGTGGCAATCTCCTTGTAAAAAGACAGAATTGGAAGAGATGATTACCACCCTTTAGGAATGGGATTGACAAGATGTAGGACAGCCAGAGGCGGGTGAACTGGATGGAGACCATGCTGTATGGGGATAAGTTGAAAGATCTGGAGATGTTGAGTCTAGAGGGGAAAAGACAGTGGGAATAGGACAGATGCCTCCCAGTATGTGGAAGAAGCATTAGATTGGGTCTGCTTGGCCCCTAGCTGAAATGGGTAGAAGTTATCGAAGAGAAGTCACTTTAGGCACCACTTGAGAAAAACTGCTTCCTAACAACTGAAGCTTCCCCAAGGAGAAACGGGGTTGCTTCAGGAAGGAATGAGTTCCCCATCACCAGAGACCTTCACATGAAGGTTGGATGACCACTTGACGGAGATGTAGAAGGAATTCCTGCTCAGATATAACTTGGACCAGATGGTCTTTGAGATCCCAACCAACTCTCACATCTCTGAACCCCATTATTCTATGAATAACTTGATAAAAGCCTGTTAAGTATCTAGACCCTCTGCTGTGGGCCAGCACAATGCAGAGGCATCACAAGATGGTGGACCTCAGGTTAGAAGAGATGGGTCCAAGTCCCAGCTCCCACACTTACTAGCCCTGGGACCATAGGCAAAATACTGCATATCTTTGAGCCTCAATTTTCTTATTTGTAAATCAGGGATGATGGAGCTTTTACTACCTCAGAGGGTTATTTGGAAAGAGGGAACATAATAATAGTAATATCAGCTAGCACTTATATAATGCTTTAAGATTAACTTTACAATTAATATCTCATTTGATCCTCACAACCACTCTGCAAGATAGGTGCTATTATTATCCCCATTTTACAGATGAGGAAACTGAGGCTAAGTGACTTGTCCAGGGTGACACGACTCATAAATGTCTATGGATAGATATGAACTCAGGTCTATCCTGACTCCTGGTCCAACATTCCATCCACTGAGCCAACTAGTTGCTTCTAGCTGCCTTTATAAACCTTGGGGGTACTCTAGAGATAGCCATTATTGTTGCAATCATTGTTATTCCTGTGGGGATAATAATAATATTATTTAGAAATAGTAACTGAGGCCTAGTTGGTACAGGAAGGTAATGCTTCCCTATTGACCTGTCCAGTTCCAAAATGAACATTCTGGAAGGCCCGGAGGAAAATTTGGTATCCCTTCACCATTCTTCTGGGCAGGACCAAACCTGGTGCTTCTCTTTGGGCTTTGTGCTGGTCCAGAGGATGAGGACCAGGGAATTCTGAGGCCTAAGCATTCCCAGGAAACTTAAATTGTTGTCTGGGGGTGACCTCTAGTTAGACCCCGTGGGACTCCTTTGGTCTGGTTGCTGTATCTTCTCATACAGGAGGCGATGGTGTGAGGGAAAGAGCTCTGGCCTGGGAGTCAGGACCCTGAGTTCTGGTCTGGCCTCTGCTGTCACCCACTGTAGGGCTTGGAAGGAAATCCCTTCCCTTCTATGGGCCTTACTTTGTACATCTGTAAAATGTTGGGCTAGGTTGGGAGTTCTTAACCTTTCTGTGCCTTCATCAGTCTGGTGAAGCCTATGGACTCCTTCTCAGAAAAATGTTTTAAGTGCATAAAATAAAGCACGTGGGATTACAAAGGCAACCAATTTTACTGAAATGCAATTATCAAAATATTTTAAAAACAAAACAAAATGAAGTCCACTGACCCCAGGCTGAGAGCCCAGGACTAGAGGATCGGTAAAGTTCCCTCTAGCCTTGACATTGTGATTGTCGGATTTTCTTCTCAGTTCTGTCCAGCACCTTCCCCTCGAGGCCCAGTTTCCTTCCTGCCTGCTCAAACCCCAGAGACTGGTCAGGAGAGGGATGGCTTATTATTGTTCTGCTTGGTCCCTGCGGACAGATATAGGACACATGTGAGGAAGCTGCAGATTTAGGTTTCAAGGAAGGGAAAGACTTCCTCCCAGGCAGAGCCATTGCAAAGTGGGATAGTTGTCATTGGAGATGGTAGGTAGGCTTCTTGGCGGTCCGACCACTTCTTGGAGGTCAGCAGCAGGCATAGCCCCACCCAGGTTGGATTTAGTTCTGACCCTGAGTTTGTGTGATTAGTTTGGTGAGGGAGCCCTACCTCCTTGCTGCCCTTTCTAATATCCCTTTCCTCTGTCTTCCTGTTCCTCTGTCAGAGTGACAATGTGCGGTGTGGGCTGTAAGAAGTATGTGGAGGCTAACATCTCACACAAGTCCCGTACGGCTGTCAAGTATACCATGAAGACACTGGCCAGCTGTGCCGAGACAGTCATTTTCATGTTGCTTGGCATCTCTGCTGTGGACTCCTCTAAGTGGGCCTGGGACACCGGGCTGGTGCTTGGTACCCTGTTCTTCATCCTGCTCTTCCGTGCCCTCGGTACTGCCCTGTGCCTGGCTGCCTTCCCATTTCCTTCTCATCCTCTCTATCCCCGACCCTAACTCCTGCTATCTCTTTCCTTCGGTCAAAGCCCCTCTCTCTACCTTGACTTAAATCTTATGCTTGCTCCTCACCCTTCTAGCCCTTGTCCAACCTTAACCTGGACCCTTCCTTCCCCTGCCCTGACCTCTAACTCCACCTGGCTTCCCCACCCCTGCCCCTGCCTCTACTCCCACCCGGCCTCCCTCCCCTGCAGGCGTAGTCCTGCAGACGTGGGTGCTGAACCAGTTCCGGCTGGTCCCTTTGGACAAGATTGACCAGGTGGTGATGTCCTATGGGGGCCTGCGAGGGGCTGTGGCCTTTGCTCTCGTCATCCTTCTGGATAAGACCAAGGTCCCTGCCAAGGACTACTTTGTGGCAACCACCATCGTGGTGGTCTTCTTCACAGTCATCGTGCAGGTGGGAGGGCCGACGGGGAGGCGGAGGAGGGGGCAAAGTAGGGATCGCCAGGATGTCTGTCCCAGAATCCCGGATAGGGACCTCAGAGGGATCTAAAGGTCAAGCCAAACAGGACCCCCCTCTATAAAACCCTCCCCCAAACCCCACAGTAGATGGTCATCCAGACTCCCTTTGGAGCCTTTCAGAGAGGGGAACCCATCACTTCCCCAATCAACTATTCCATTTTTAGACAATTCTAATGGTTAGGAAGGTCTCCTGCCTGCCAGCCTAAATCTGTTTCCCTTCTCCCTGCTCCCTCTCTGCTCCATTAAGCAATATTGCTGCCAGTTCCATTCTCCAGGTTCAGAAACCATCTCATCCCCTTCCCATGTGAGGGCCATCCAGTGAGCTCATGGTGGGGAGCTGGAATTCCAATCCTGACCCAGGGTTCAACTTGCTCTGGAATCTTGGGGAAGTCTCTTCCCTTTTCTGGGCCTCAATTTGCTTCTCTGTAAAGAACAGAAACTGGACCTAAGGATCCATCTCCAGAACCCTTCAAGACCTGACATTTTGACTCATTGAATCTCTATCCAGCTCTCTCCAACTCTTTCCATAGCTGTGAAAGGGGACTCTAGGGGAAGCTAAGGCACTGTGGGTCACTGTGTGTAGTCTCATCCCAGGGGGGATGGCAACGGAGAAAATTAGGGGCATAGTGAGATAGTAGGCAGCTTATATTTCTAGTCATAGTTCAATCTCCATGTTCACCTCCTTCCTGTCTCCCTTCTTGTTCCCCAGGGTCTAACCATAAAGCCTCTTGTCAAGTGGCTAAAAGTGAAACGAAGTGACCACCACAAGCCCACCTTGAACCAGGAGCTACATGAACATGTGGGTATCAGCGACACAGCCTCAAAGGAATGTCCCTTTTCCATCTTACCTCCTCCCATTCTTTTCTGGCTCTCTGGAGGGTTCTTGGGCTGGGAGGGATGTGTCCAGGCTCTTCCAGATATGAAATTTTGATTTGGTGCCCAAACTCTGGGCCTTCTTCGGGAGAAGGGACAGTGCCGTGATTGGGCTTTCCTGTCCCTTCTATAGACCTTTGACCATATTTTGGCAGCTGTGGAAGATGTAGTTGGTCACCATGGCTACCACTACTGGAGGGACAGGTGAGCACGTCCCCCTCCCCTCACCTCCTGAAAGGCCACCTCAACAGCCCCCTCCCTGCTTTCCCAGGGGGCAGAGATGGGCCAAATGCTATTATTCAGGCCTAGCAACCTGAGAAGAGAGCCCCCAGAGAAGGAGAACAGCTTACACTTTGAGGTTTACAAAGGTTTCTTACTATCCCATGATGAGGCAGATAGCACAAGCAGCATTGTTACCATTTTACAGATGAGGAAAATGAAGCTTTTCTAGTGACTCGTCTAGGTCACAGAGCTAGTAAGTGTGGGAGCCTGGACTAGAACTCAGAATCTTCTGACTAAGATCAATGCCTTTTCTACTAACCCCTATGGTCCAGAGACAGATCTTGGAAGGTCTTTCCAGAGTCCTTAGGGAATTCAGAGAAGGGAGCATTCAGGCACGCAGATCTATCCCCCTCTGTAGGTGGGAACAGTTTGACAAGAAATACTTGAGTCAGCTACTGATGCGCCGGTCTGCCTATCGTATTCGGGACCAGATCTGGGATGTGTACTATAAACTCAACATTCGAGACGCCATCAGTTTTGTGGACCAGGTAGGTCTTAAGTACACAGGGTGGAGGGGGCAAAGTTGGTCTTGTGGGGTTTCTTAACCTGGGATCTGTGGACTCATTTTTTAAACGTATTTTTGATAACTGTATTTCATTATATTCAATCAATCAGTAAGCTACTATGTGCCAGGCTCTGTGCTAAGTACTGGGAATACAAAAAAAAAAAAAAGCAAAAGACAATCCCTGTCCTCGGGGAGTTTATGATCTAATGGATTATAATTGGTTTTCTTGGTAATCCTGTGTGTTTTATTTTGTCTTTTTTTTGTGCTTTTAAAAATATGATTCTAAGAAAGGGTCCATAGGTTTTACCAGACTGCCAAACAGAGCCTGCAACACAAAAAAGATTAAGAACCCCTGATCTGGTGCAATGGCTAGGATTAGAGTGGGTGGTAGATAGCTCGGGGCCCTGGATGAATAATTCATGGTCTCTAGAAACTGGTGATTTAAAAAAAATAGTATTTTATTTTTTCCAATTATATGTAAAGACAATTTTTAACATTCATTTTTTACAAATTTTTGAGTTCCAAATTTTTCTTTCTCCCTCCTTTCCCTCCCCTCTTTCTAAAACAGTAAGCATTTTGATATAGGTTATATATGTGCAATCATGTAAAACATATTTCCATATTAGACATGTTGTGAAAGAAGAAACAGAACAAAAGGAAAAAACTAAAAAAAAAAAAAGTGAAAGCAGTGTGCTTTGATCTGCATTCAGAGTCCATCCGTTCTTTCTCTGGATGTGGATAGCATTTTCCATCCTGAGCCCTTTGGATTTTTCTTGGATCGTTGTACTGCTCAGAGGAGCTAAGTCATTCATAGTTGATCGTCACACAATGTTGCTTAAACTGGTGATGATGATGGAGTGTTGGGGAAAGGGTGTCAGACAACCCTGGTCCTAGAGTTAAGAGTTGAAGTACCTCCTCTAGGCAATAAACATCCATCTGAGACCCATCTTCATACCTTTAGGGAGGCCACGTCTTATCCTCAGCAGGGCTCACGCTACCCTCCATGCCTAGCCGTAACTCTGCAGCAGAGACCTCTGTCACCAACCTTCTGTAAGTACCACCGTGCCTACCTCCCCATGGTAGGCTCCCCTTTATCAGTATCAGCCTCTTCTCTCCCTCAAGCCTTCTCCACCTCTGTGCCAGGCTCCTCTTTATCCCACCCCAGGTTCCCTCCTCTTCATTGCCCCCAGGGAGTTGCACATTTGACCTAAGGCTCTTGCAGCCCCCTCTGCAATTTGCCCCCTTGGCTTATTTCCCGTAGGCGGGAAAGTGGCAGTGGTGCCTGCCTGGATCTACAGGTGATCGACACGGTTCGAAGCGGCAAGGACCGGGAGGATGCCATCATGCATCATCTGCTCAGTGGAGGTCTCTACAAACCCCGTCGGAGGGTGAGATGCACATCGGTGGGGAGACAGTCCTTCCTCAGTGGCCTTTGGCCTGGAGGAAACCAAGATTCAGGGCTGGGGGGCAAATAACAAAAAGCAAAAGCAAAAGCACTCACCTGGAGCCTGCTATATGGGAGGCTGCGTAGAGTAATGGAAAGAGCATCGGACTTGGGACTAGAAGACTGTGTCTAAGTCCTGGCTCTGTCACCGGCTTCATCTGTAAAGTGCATAGAAAGGCCTTGTACTAATTACCTGGGATCTGGGACTGAAAGGGATCTTCGAGATCACCTCCTACCAGGGATTCTTAGGCTGGGGTCCAGGAACCATTTTTTTTTGGAGGGGGGGCTAGGCAATGGGGATAAGTGATTTGCCCAGGGTCACTCAGCTAGTAAGTGTTATGTGAATGAGGTCGGATTTGAACTCAAGTCCTCCTGAATCCAGGGCTGGTGTTCTATCCACTGCGTCACCTAGCTGCCCCTTCAGGAACTATTCAAAAACATATTTTGATAACCGGGTTTCAATTTCATTGGCTTTCTTTGTAAACGTAGGCATTTTATCTTATGCACTTAAAAACATTCTTCTGAGAAAGTCAGAAGGTCTGTGATACAGAAAAGGTTAAGAATCTATGATCAAGGCCAACCTGTTTATATTAAAGATATAGAGTAAGGTTCAGAGAGGAAGGACTCACCCAAGGCCACACGGGGAGCAAGTAGTAAAGCTGGGATTTGAACTCAGGTCCTTTGACTACTCTTTCCACTATAGCAGCAGCAGCAGCATCTATAACATTTATTTAGCACTTTAAGGTTTGGAAAGCACTTTACAAATATTATCTCATTTGATCCTCACAACAATCCTGGGAGGTAGGTGCTATTAATCCCCGTTATACAGATGAGGAAACTGAGGGCAGAGGGGAAGTGACTTGCTTAGGGTCTCATAGCTGGTAAGTATCTGTGGTCAGATTTGAACCCAGGCCTTCCTGACTTCAGCTCTAGTATTCCATTCACTGTGCCATCTGAGCTGCCTCTCACCTTACAGGATTGCCACCAAGAAAACAATTTGTAAACCTGTAAGTGCTATAGCCATGGTGAATTATTATTGATTATGAATATATGCATAGAGTTCAGAATTTAGATGAGGAGATGCCATACATGGGTGGAAAATAAAGTGAGTGAGTTGGGCAATATGTGAGAAAAGCCAGTTGGGTTGATAATCAAGCCAGTCCCTGCAGGCTGGAGTACAAAAGGGAGGCTTTAGAGTAGAGAAGAGAAAAGAGTATTAGACTAGGGGACTGACACTTGTGACTTGGGCATTGTCAGTCCAGTAGCAAGAGGAAAAGAAATGCCAAGTTTCATACGAGGACCAAGGAAATAGAGATCAGTTTCAGCTTGGGAAATCATAGAATCCTTCCTGGAGGAGGTGACATTTGAGAACTGGGTATTGAAGGATGGTCAGGATTTTACCTGGGGAGAGGACAGTGTGTGTGTGTGTGTGTGTGTGTGTGTGTGTGTGTGTGTGTGTGTGGTGTATGCATAAGGGAGGGAAAATAGAGATAGAGAAATTTAATTCTTGAAATATGAGAAAGCACAAGATATGTTTGATGCACATAGTAAGCATTATATAAATGTTAGCTATTTTTCTTCTTATTTTGATGGATGGCAATTAGTCCTATTTTTCGGAATAGAGAGGACGGCAGAAAATGGGGCAGCTAGGTGGTGTCGCAGTGGACAGAGTCCCAGGCCTCAGACACTTACTAGCTGTGTGATCCTGGGCAAGTCATTTCACCCTGTTTGCCTCAGTTTCCTCTTCTGTAAAATTAGCCAGAGAAGGCAATGGCAAACCACTCCGGTATCTTTGCCAAGAAAACCCCAAATGGGGTCACAAAGAGTCGGACGTGACTGAAACCCCTGAATGACAACAAGCAGAAAGTGAGGTGAGATGAGGCTGAGAAGGTGGGGTAGCAAGAGACCGTGAAGGACCTTGAATTACAGAATCAGGCATCAGGCTTCCTCCTGGAGGCAATAGCAGAACCCAGGGATTTCGAGTGAGGAATGATAGGACCGTAGATCTAGAATTGGAAGGGAATCCAGAGACCTTCTAGTCCAACCCAGGCATCTTACAGATAAGGAAACTGAGGCAAAGGGAAGTTAAGTGACTTGCCCAAGGTCATACAGCCAGTATCACAGGTAGGGCTCGGACCAGCTCTTCTGGCTCCAGAGCCCTTGTTCGTTCCATCATGCCCTCCTGTTTCCTGATGGTGAGAGGAAGAGAGGGAGTGATTAGACACAACCACAATCATGTTTTAAATAGCGGGAGATGGAAGAACCTGGATTCAAACCCAGATCTTCTGACTGAGTCCAGAGCTCCTTCTCTTACTTCGCTCGTCCATCTGGCCCAGGTGACCAGATTAACTTTTATATTGCACAGCAGATCATGTCCCACCAGGAAACAGCCTTGAACTGTGGAAAGAGGCTCTGGAGTCAGAAGACTTGGGTTCGAGTTCTACCCCTGATAATAATCATCATAATAGCTCGTAATTTGTATGGCACTTTAAGGTTTGCTAAGCTCTTTGCAAATATTATCTCATTTTATCCTCCCAACAATCCTGGGAGATAGTTATTATTACTATCCCCATCTTATGGATGAAGGAACTGAATTAGACAGGTTAAGTGACTTGCCCAGGGTCACACAGCTGATAAATGTGTGAGGTGGGATTTGAACTCAGGTCTTCCTGACTCCATATATAGCACCCTATGCACTGTACCACCAAGCTGCCTGTATGTATCATACTAGCTGTATGATCTCAGGTAAATTATTTAGCCCCTCTGGGTCTCAGTTTTCCTATCTGTAAAAAGGAGCTCATAGCACTTTCACCATTCCACTGAAATCCAACTCCTATACCTCATTATATTGTGCAGGTGACCCTGGGTTCTCGAAGGCTGCTGGAAAGGCTGCAAGGACAGTCCCAGTGACAAGACTTTATGTCTGTTGTCCAGTAGCTAGCCTAGCTATGTTTGGAGCGGCTCCTCGCCAGACAATTAGCCACAGAGTGATGAATGTTTTGGCCATGGCACTTTATGGAGATTACCCTCTACGGCATGGAGAAACTGTAATTTTCACTAGTGGGAGAAGTACCTACCAAAGGAAATCATATATCCTTTTTTTTTTTTTTTTTAGTGAGGCAATTGGGGTTAAGTGACTTGCCCAGGGTCACACAGCTAGGAAGTGTCACGTGTCTGAGGCCAGATTTGAACTCAGGTCCTCCTGACTCTAGGGCCAGTGTTCTATCCGCTGCACCACTTAGCTGCCCCGAAATCATAGATTCTTAAAGCACTCGATGAAAGACATAGATTTAGAGCTTGCTGAGACTTCAGAGGTCATCTCATCCAACCTTCTCATAGACAAGGAAACTGAGGGCTAGTGATATGTAGCACCTTCCCATATATAGGCTCCCAGAAATGTAACCCAGATTCAAGGCATTTTGGTGGTCAGCAAACTCATAATTCATGAGTCCCCATTAATGTGTTTACTTTTACTTGTCCAACTAGAGGCATATTAGTTCAGAGCAAAAGATATTTGATCATACAAAATACAACATACAAAATCATTGGTATTTGAGCATTGTAAGGGACCTCACAGGCTACATACATTCCAACCAATACACAAAAGAAATCTCTACAATACCACACTTGGTAAAGGGGAAGGGCGTTTGAACTCTTTTGTTTATAGCTGTAGAGCTAACCTTAGTGCCTCTGTGTTGTCAACTGCATCTGGGCAGTTAGCTAGAGAAGCCCTTCGGCATTTTAAAGTTCACCATTTATTTGAATTATTTTTCCTTTTGCTGGACTCAGGTTCCTTGATCCTAGTCTCCTATCTGACTTGGGGTCAGGAAATTACTTTCAATTTCTGTCATCTAGTTTGTGTTCTTTCAAAACATCCCAGGAACTTCACTTAGTAATAGTGCAGAAAGAACCACCAAAACTGGTTCTTTTCAATGCCCATCATGCCCCTGCTTGCCATGCAAATCAACCTGGGGCAAGACCGAAAGGGCCAGGTGAAACCAGGGTTGTTGGTGATCTCTACCCCAGTTTCTAAATACTGCATTCAGCCAGCAATGGAATCACTGGTATGTTTTGGAACCTAGGTCCACAGACTCCAGATCCTGTTATTTATATTGCACCCTACTCCTTACTTTGAAGAATTATGGTGAGTGAAGTGCAGGAGAAATGGG